GCTCCGATCCCGGAGTACCCGGCTAGTAGTGGTTAAAGCACCTTGCCCTGAGACAGAAGTTTGAAACATACCATGTCCAATTCTTACCAATGCTGGAATTTCTGCTGCTTCTAGGCTTGGCGACAGTCACATTAGGAAAGAAGATCTTGAGTTGTGAATAGAGGAGAGTGACGTCTTTGCCTCGGAATATCTGCAAAGGAAAATGTAAATGGATTGTCCAAACTAGAGTTTTTATCTGCTAATATTTGTTTGTTTGTTGGGCTGTTGGGTTGTTTGTTGGGGTGTTTGTTGGGTTGTGTGTGTGTGTGTGTGTGTGTGTGTGTTTGTTTGATTGTTGGGTTGTTGGGGTGTTTGTTTGTTTGTTTGTTTGTTGGGGTTGTTTGTTTGTTTGTTTGTTGGGTTGTTTGTTTGTTTGTTTGTTTTTAATTAGTACATGTACCAAATACTTGTTACCTGACACATTTTCTTCTATAGTAAGTCTCAGAAGTCACACATATTTCAAACTTGTGACTATTTAGTGTAAAGATTTCAAACCACCTAATTCACGTATAAGGCTGTGCGGAATTTTAGAGTATTCGATAGATTATCAAAAATTTTCTTTCGGATTTGAATGTTCGAATGCATGAAAAGGAAGGGAGAGTTTTGTGTTGTGTTAAATGAGAAAAATTGCATTCTGGAGACTTGTTCCAAGCAGATTCAAATGGAAAGCAACAAAGCTCTTACGATTCAAAAAGTACATTATTCATTAAAAAATTTAAAAGGAATATGCATTTTCAATAGGACAAGAAGAATTATTCATCTCATAAATCTTGCTAAATCGAGGCTGAAGATCCTTGTATATGTGAGAAGCTATCATGGTGATTGTAATGTACAATTGTGGGCGCTATTGCAACTAATTTTGCATATGGTTTGTTCATCATCAATCTGCCAGTCGCTACGACTGAATATTTGGATATTTGATCAAATTGAAGGTCGAATATTTGAATAGTGAATTATTTGAGTTGACTCAGCTCTATTTATTTAAAATGTCTACAGTCACCTCATGCAGTTAAAAATGTATAGTGGCTTTTAGGTAACTTTTTGATCACACTATACATTTCAATGTGTTCAGTTGCTGTGGTCATACCTTCGCTACAAATGTCCCCCCTGGCTTCAGAACATGAGTTGTGATGTTCAGAGCCTGTGTGAATAATGACACAAATAATACACTGATTGAAAAGGTAATACTAGCATTTCTTACTATAAGAGGACACTTGCCCGCATCTTCTCTATCTCAATAATACAAACTTTGAAAGCCTCACCAGAAAGAGTCAGAATTCTAATACCTCTTGGGGAAAGATTCTGTCCTGCAATTCTAAGCATACACAGGGGTGTGAGTGGCCACTTAAAATTCATGCTGAAAACAGCTAGCAAAAAGCTGAAAAGGAAAAAGTTCCCATACTTTTGTACAGACCAGGTGTATAAAAAAGCTGAAATTCTGGGTCAACATCTAAACAAAAAAGCTGAAATCAGCTAAAAAGCTGTATTCTCACATCCCTGCATGCACCAGATGAAGTTCTACCATAAAGGATTTGCCCAGCTCCCCTCTCCCATCAATCTCTTAGTAACACGTCAATCACTCTGCCAATTTCTTTTTATTAATTAAAATGAAGTGTATTTCCTTAAACTCTGCTGTAACCGAAGAACCTTTTTGCCGGAATATTTCCCACCTATTCCCTGTTGGTTTAAAAGAAATGTCTCCATAAGCTGCCCCTTTTGTCTTATTTTAATTCTATATCTGGTCTTCCACGGTTAACGAGTTGAAAAAAAAAAACGTTATTGGCTCTCCCAAACAATAATCAGCAGAGAGGTGGTAACTTAAATTTGATGACTAGACATTGGTCTTACCGCAAGCAATAGCTGTGCTTGTATATATTCATCTATGTCATGCAAGCCAGTTACTGAAAACAGGAAGAGGTAATGCAAAATCTTCAATTCCATGAATAGTTTGAGGTGTCAAACAATGACAATGCTTGCTGTTCACATTAACCAAACTTATTACTTTCAGCAGAGTAAAAAGAAAACGATGGCATGCCCCAAAAACTGTTTCACAGAAACATTTTTAAGATACAACAAACCTGAAAGCAGGAAATATGAGGTCCAAAAAAATGTGCTTACCGTCTGGTGCCCCGTCACACACCACCAGGTCTGCCTGCTCACCCTCAAACTGACTGATTATTTCCTTGGCTGTGGACTCCTGAAATATGCAAATGCACGGTTTTCTATTGGGCAACTTTTTGACAGCCATCTGTCCCACACCCCTCCGGAAAAAAGTCAACACTAGGATTCCTCAGGGACAAAAATCCTTTTCCGGAGGACATACAGGGGGGGGGTTCAAAATTAACCTTTTTTCCCTGGTAGCCAGCAGGACTAGTACTTCAGAATTTTTACTGGTCCTGCTGGAGGTTTGGTGATCCCATTCCCGAACCACACACACAGCCCCTTGAGCAATCCTTGTTAGGGTACAGGCCGCGACAAATTTTGAGTTTGATCGGGCAGGCTATGCCATAAATTTGTTTGCCCAAACAGGATCAACACTTGCCCAAGATTTCTCGGAATCTACGATTATAATGGTTATTTAAGTTAGGCCCCAGTTGTGCTGTGCCCCTCAAAAATAGGATCGGTAGGTCAGAAATTTGTTTGTTTGGAGGGCAATTTTTTTGGCATCAATGGGGATGACAGCTTCCAAAATTATCTTAAAAACTGATAAACACCTGTCTTAATCTATGTAAAAATTACTACGTACGGCAATTTACAAGAACATTATAAACAATTCACACAGTGCTACTTAGGCGATCGCAAAGGCAAACTGGCCAACAATGTCCATAGATCGCATGGTAAGCTCGCGTGATGCATCCAGACCAGTGGGCAATAAACCTTAAGCCACGAGTAGAACAACCTCAAATTAAACTCATGAATGCAGAAAATACATGCATAAATAAGAGACTAAGTTTTGCGAATTAACTTGAAGAAAACTCCTTGCAACATCGATGTCTTTTCAACCTGCAGCCTTAGGGTTACATCCGTGACGTGTACGGCCAATGTAGAGAGGGCATGTACAATACATTCAGTACATGTACAGTACAGACTGGTTCTGGTTCCTACATTTCCATAACGCATTCTTTTGCATGGGCGCGGCGCGTTGGGAACCAGATCACTTTGTTTAATGCATTGAGCTTTGCGCACATGTTTCCACCACTATGACTAGTGAAACGTGAATGGAAACTCATGAAAATAACTTCTTCTTTTTTCAAAAATTACAAATTTAAGTAGAAAGACATATAAAAACAAGAATTTAACATGAGAAAAGGTTATTGAAAGATGTTTGTGAAGACAGAAAAGACATCAGATTTCAACTGGCCCATCGGACCACCAGTTTTATTTGATCAGCTGGTCCGCCGACTTTTCTACTGGCCTCGGGCCTGCAAACCACCGTTTTTTTCGACCCCTGATATATGTGTTGAGGATCTGGTAATGATATGGAAAAGGATTTCTAAGTTTTAATACGAGGGGCTTAACCCAACATACCAAAAAAAAATTGCACCCAAAAGAAAACAAACTTTCTTAGGAAGATTATTGCTAAAAATTCATTAAAAGTGAGAAAGCATCAGGTGGTCAAAAATTAAAATTCCGTACGTCTGTCTGCGTCTTCCCTCATGTTCCAATCCTATCTCCAAATCTGAAAACGTGCAGCTTCATATGTTAATGCATCCGTCTTGACCAGTTAAGTTATGATCCTTCCACTGGACACTCACTGACCTTCGTGATGTCACCCTGGAGTTGGATGACCCCTGGCAGTGGGGCCATGGCCTGTAAATCAACTGCCACTATCTTGACCTTTGACTTGTCAGCCTCGCTGTGTCTGGGGGGGTGGGGATAGATCAGTTGTGAAAGCGTGAGTCAGCTTTGATTGGCTAAGTACACAGGCAGTGTGGGATGGTGGGGAACTTCATGGAGGTAACAATTACAGTGTTGTGGTCAAGACCTCTGAACACATCACAATACCACCACAAGAACAACACTGGACCTCATTCTGATTTCGAATCACAAGCTTTCCCCATGAAATGCGTCACTGTTCACCCTGTTAATGTCAGTGATCTTAGGAATAGTCTTGAGCAAGTGTTTGGTCCAGTGAAAAGTCTCACCTACATTTATGTATACCAAATAATTATTTCAAACAAAACTTGACATCGACTTGATTTTATTTTGAATTAAATCTACAGAACTGAAACAGAAGTTCTGTTTTTAATGTACACAGAAGATGACCAGCAATGCTAATTTCATAGCAAGTTGAAAACTAACACTCTCTGTGTCAAGTCTGTACTTTGTGTCTATGCACTTTCAATAAAAATCTGTCATGCATGGTGTAATAAAAGGTGAGTTCCTGGCTGCATTTCTCTCAACGGAAAAAGGCAACAGCAGTAATTCACAACACAATGAGGCATCAGGAGGTCGCTATGGAAAGATCAGTTAACAATGTATCTACATGTATACGGTCGGTAAAGGTCTCGGAACAACACCTCCTACAGAAAGACTGCAGAAGCTTGTTTTATGTTTTTGTTTTTTGATGCTGGCATACATGTCAGTAATATTTCAAACATGAAAATATCACTTAGCTAGAGCTTCTATAATATGCACGCTGCATTACAGCAGTGGAGATTTTTTCAGGTACCTTAGTTTTCTACTGAGAACTTGACTCCAGCTGCCTGGTGCAGCGCACAGATCCACTGCCTTGCTCACACCTACAGTAGAAAAATCACCAAATTTAGCTGATACTGACAAAGGAAAGCCTGAAACTAATACGTTCTGTGAGCACATCAAACATCTGCATTGGAGGTAATGACCCAAGAACCAGGGGTATGGTTTGATTAGGCTTCACGTACAAGTCACATTCCCACCCACTCCTGCCACCTCCCCTCTGTGTGTCGGAAGTTTCCTTGGGTTGGACTTGAACCCACGACCTTCTCCTTACAAGTGAAGACATCTTACTGCTCAATCTCTGCACCTGCCAGAGGGAGGGGCTCTCTCAAATGGTTGGTTTCGATCAGAGGAGGGATTGGTGCCAAAAGAAAACATTTTGAAAAGACGTCACTTTGCATCTGACAAGTTTTCCTTTTAAGATTGGACATTTTGCTCTTCACCAACAAATTTCTTTTTCCTGCAAGCTCTTGGACAACAACAAGTATGCAGTGCTCATACATGTAAATACAATGGACGTCTATAAAACTAAACACCTTCCTAACACGCGCACACAAACACATCTTTTTCAAATGATGTTATACCTTTGAAGATGTCAAATTCCTCATTGATCTGTAGCAGTTTGAAGGCACTGCGTGCCCTCCAGCCTTCTTCCTTCGCCAGACGATAATAAATGTCCCGCTTGTCCTTGGAAGAACGTCCCATGATCTTTCTGGTGGGGATCTAAGCTCTGCATTGGATTGTGTCAGAGACAACAATTTCAGTGGCCTTAGGAAGTATGTGTTGCCATTTATAATCCTATACTATCTCGAGTGTTGGTTGTGGGTAACGACATGCCATTTTACTCACGTTTCGTGAATGACAATTATTGATGAATCGCCATTAGTCTGGTTACCAGAACCAGCCATTGTCATGATGTGAACACTATGATTCATCAAAAATCTTCATCCAGGTCAAGGAACCAGACTGCATTCACTAATTCACACCTCTTTGAGGCATCATGTGCGTTGCTGTTTTATCCCATAATTTCCCTCAAAAACAATGCCATGTCCTCATTTTATAAACACAATCTTTCTGACATGAAAGAGGACATCATCGCTAAATAATCTACAATCCTGGCCAAATCTCACTGGCCTCCCCCCCTCCATGTTGGGTCTCAATGCGTGTTCTGGCACCGTCTGGGCTCCAGCTTGACATGACAGCATTGACCCATCAGGGGAGTGGGGAACCTGGGGAGGCTGTGTGGCTAATTATATTGCCAAATGTCCAAACCATTTTGGCCAGGCTTGTAGGTGAGTTCCTGCTACCTCCAGAACTGTGGGGTCCAACCCGGGGTAGACATTGGACCTCACAATTACGTGTAACACCCGCAACCAAGTTGAAACATTTCCTATTCTGCCGTCACATAAAACTGTCCTTTTACAGTTGAGTGTTATTCCAAAAATGTACCTCACTTCTTGCAAAAGCAGAAAAAATCAGAGCACCAAAATCAGCCAACCATCAGGCGCGCTGCCATTTTCAGACTAAGTTTGCAGCAGACAGAGCAATTTTGGTTTGCCTGCCCTCTCTTGACAAGCAAAGTAAAAAATGCTGCCATCTATCGACAAGACAAGATTATATAGTACCAATCATTTCAATCGGTGGCAGAACAAGGTTACTGAGGTAATTTTTGTAAGTTTTGGTGCAAATTTTGACAAAATCTTCAAAATTCCATTCTTTACCGTACATGTAGCTTGAAGGAAGCCTTCAGATGCTAGATTAATAAATTTTTGTTCTTTTGTCTGCAAGTATTTCTATTTTTCTTTCTTTCCTCCAGATCTCGCACGTGGGAAAATAAAGCTTCAGAAAGAAGGCTGTGATGTGATGTAAACCAGGCAACAAAGTCACCATTGCGCAATAGGGCCTACATTGTGTGCGTTTGGGGTTTGCCTGTCATGGCAATATGCCCGGCAGGTTCTGTAGACTTTGAAGGTTCAAAGGGTTCTACCGGTAACTTCCCATGAAAATATTACTTCACCATACAGTTTCTACAATTGAATTTTTCTGGATTCAAGCTTTATTTTGATGTATAATTTTATAAATTTCTTTTGAATTTTTAATTTTTGGGTATTATCCACGAGTCACCACAATTCGCGCACTTGAAGTTAGTACATGTACTTTGACCACAATTGATTCTTAAATAGGCCTACATGTATACTGATTTTTTATGGCTTCATTTTCGAAAGTCTGACCAAAATCCTACATGGCCATGATGGAATAATATTATGAAGAACATCCGATATCACCCAAAGCAAAACTTAAGGAACAATGTCATCTGCAAACGAGTCGGATCGGCTGTAGTAAAACCTACGTCACCATAATTACGTCATTTTACAAGGCATCAGCAATGCCCTACTTCTGTCATTGGAATGGAAGCAAATTGCACCCATCACAGTCATGACAGTGTGGCTTTCATCTGTGGGTGACAGAAAAACAAAGGAAAAGATAGAAGCTGTGTTGCGATTGGTCAAGCTATCACACAGCTGACACTTGAAAGTTACTGCTGCTGATTTTCTGGAGTGTGGATCAGCAAAATATTCAAGAATTTTGCCATTTTAATGAGGATACAGGCCTATAAAAGGTGAATGAACATTCCCATCTGACTTTCTGACATCTACCATATGTAACTTCACCAAGAAGGCATGTGTGAAATTTGGTTGCACAAATAGCTGTGACGGAATAGTAAGTTGGCACAAACAAAAAAAGCTAAAATGCGTTTAGCCATGGGATTGGGAGTTTGTGTTCCTTCCTCCATGGTTGTACTGCTACTCAAGTACTAGCCTAGGCCTAGGGTATGTACATTTACATGGTACATCATCTGTGACTGTGAGGTGCATGCAGCCGAGGCTAGTACTGGTTTGTATCGATAGGCCTATACAGTTCTCTGCAAGTAAAGTTCCTGCATGTTTTATCAAAGCATGGAGGAATAAAACACATCAAAGTAGGCCTAACAGTAAAAGTAAAGAACGTCATACACATCTGAGCCAATTTTAAATAAAGACAAAATGAGAAACAAATCTCTACGAACACTTTATACGCTACCGAAGGCGAAAATCAAACGCCTGGTCGTGCACCGTCCTCAGAAACTCAGCATATGCAAGCAACAAGTATCATGCATGGGCAGTATATAGCAAAGATTATATAGCGCCGCGTAGCGCGCGGCGCAAGATGGGTAATTCGGCCATACAGGTGTTATCACCACGGGCGCCATTCGAGTGTAAACGTTCATGTGTGCGAGTACCTATCGCGGCGCCTGCGCCTGAGCATTAACATGCACTGCGCAGTCGTAGTCTAACCAGAATGGCGCTTAGGTGATAACAACGTTTTACGCGTATTCATGGTGAAGTTCCCCATCTTGCGCGGCGCTATACGATCTTTGGTAGTACACAGGGAAGTTTACGAGCGCCCTCTCTTGAGATCAAATGCAGAGAGTGGCGAAACAGGCGACTCGCGAGGCTCGATTTGTCACCTATGTGTACCGTATATGTACATGTACATGTGTACGTACTGTAGCCTACATCGCGTTGTAAGCCTTGCAATCGTCACAAATTACAGGCCTACGGTTCTTACAACATAATGTACGAACTAATCTCAGCGATACAATGACGGCTTAGGGGTTAAGACACCCCCCCCCATTTTGGCAGCATGCACCGTTTTCCCTCGGCTTCCTTTTGGGCAGTACTACTGTAGAAAGATCCCTCTTCGACTTACCGCACTGGGTCGGGCAATACCTACATGTATCTTTCCCTTCCTCCATACTTTCACCAAGAATGGTGGATACAAAGTCCCTAATGCCTTTTTGTTTAATTTACCCCAGCCCCCTCAACGCACCATTGTGGCGGAACCATTAAAACGCACAGGCCTATCAGTGCTGCATTCCAATGATTTTTCAAGCTCCAGATAGAACTCGGGCTAAATTTTGTGTCCTGCTTTCAAAAATATAAGTCAAGCCAGACATTAAACCCAAATTCCACCTGTTGTGGCTGACTGTGTTGTTGAGCTTTTGTACTGAAACATTCTACTCACAGAGCTTATTTCAAATCTCTGGGCCTTCGCTGATAATCTTTTCGGCGCTTTAAAGGTGTTCCATTATTCATTCTATCGACAACTAATCCCAACCCAGTTTCTGTCCCTCTTGTATTTATTAAACCAGGCTTCAGACATCAATGAGACACGGTGGTAGCCGCTATGGGGGACATGAGGCATCCCAGAGTCTGCTCTTGAATCCCTGGCACATGCAGGTTAACTTTTTAGATTTTGCAAATCACAATTTTTGTCCCCTCCTAAACACCCCCCCCCCGAGTCTGGCCCCGCAACTATTAGTGAGTCGGATTGACTGTACGTAACCTGTGGCTTGTGAGACTTATAATAACTCGGTTCGCACCATCGTCTTGAAATAACTCGATCAACTCGTCACAAAATTCGGTGATGACTTGTTTCAACACTCAGCAATGCCCAAGTTACTCGACAATTTTTGGGGGATCAAACCTAGTTTAAACTCCCGCATCAAGTTGAAAAGAGTGCGCCCTACATGAAGTTTGTCTCATCGGTGAGGTAAACTAGCATAAATAGAATAGGAATTAGAGTGCCATACTAAGGCAAGCAAGTTTGGTAAACTTTATTGAAGCAAGTTTATTTTTATTGTACTTTCCTACATAATTATCTTTTGCAGAAGTTACAGCATCAAAGCATTTCGCATAATAACTTTACAAGTGAGACTTTACTTTGCTTCAGAGCTAAACATAATTTGCACATTAGCACGGCGCATTTCTGTAACATTTGGTACTCACACTATTTGAAACAGTACTAGAACAAATTCTTAAACTGTTCTGTATTTTAAGAAATTAATATCACCTAATAAAAAACAAGTCTCTGTTTTAAGAGGCCAATAAAATATTTATTTACAAAAATTTGGAATCTTTCCGAGGGAGGTGTGGTTTCAGAAAACTTGAAAAGATACAATTGAAACCATATTGATTTTATCTCTTCTATGTAAAACAAATCAACTCACGAGTGCAAGACAGTAATGACTGAAGACCAGCGTCCCTTTTTGTATGCTTTTTGCCTGGAATACTGAGATCTTGGAACTCTCTTTTCAGGTTTAATGTCTTCGGATGGATTTGAGCTATAACAAGTTCCATCAAAGTTGCCTCAAATGCATGTAATCAAACCCCTTCAGTTAACGGACCTCAAAAAGGAAGGAGACTATTTTGTCGCATAACGTCATTTAAAAACCGGGTCTCTGTATTATCTGGATGTCGAAGGGAAAGCTAACCGCGGTTGCTGCACACCGTCCGAACATCTTACTCACAGCAACCTCTGGCATTTGGCACTTCATCTGGGATTTCAGTGCGATGTCATCACGAATCGATTCTCCTTCTTTTCGCCAACAGTCACTGTCCACTCCACACGTCTGCGTAAGCCCGTTGACAACTTCAAGAAAACCTGTCTCATCAGTATCGACTCCGATAAAATCAGTCCCGGTATCGGCTTCTCGGCAGCGGCGTGCGATACCGCGCAGGAAGCACCGCACGATCGCCTTCTGAAAGCTGTCGCACGTGTTTGTGGAGAAATAAGCGCCTGGAACAAGATGTTCTTGAAGGGCCAAACACTGGACGTCCGTTGATGTCGCGGAAACAACCGAAATTCCGTACTGCATGTTCTTGCGCCTTCGGCCGCCGGCAGGGTAGCCAGCAGCCTTGGCACATCGGCCGCACACTCGGACCGTGTCAATCCTGGCTCTGTTTAGGTCACTCAGCAAGTTGAGAAATTCTCGGGCCGAATTGGAGAGGTCCGCGGCGGTTGGCTGGTTCAAGTAGCCGAGAACGAAGCGAGCTGATCGGTACGTCGCAGAGCGTCGGAGCTGAAGGAGGTTTGACACATCATCAACCACGGAGGACGACGGCATGTTGACGGTAAAAATGTGCACGACCCGGGGAGCAGAGCCCTTCTCTGATACATACCTCTGCCAAGTTGTCGGTAGATCGTTTACAACTTGCTGGAGGGCACTCAAGCCCCCGCTTGCCGTGCGGTAGATGTAATTGACCGTCTCTGTAGTAGAGCCAAGCTCCGAGCATGGCGAAAACGGCTGAGTGCGACCGGCGTAGTTAAAACTGACCACAGCAAAATCCTCGGCGCTTGCGTCGGCAGATCCCTTAAGAAACTGGCCGCACAGGTACAAGTCCAGGTATTTCCTGTCGGCATCTCTCAACTCCTCCAGTCTCTGTATCGAAGGGGGTCCACCCAAACGCCTGCCGACGTCTGGCTGGGGTAGACCTCTGAACACGGCTGGAGGCCGGCCGGGCATCCTCTTGCTGTTACTGTCAGCGAGTGGGGCACCGATAGACGACGGCCCTCTCTTCCGTTGCCCCTGTCCACTTTCAGAATTGGTGACTTTCCTCCCCAACTTTTGAGGATTATCGGTGCTAGAGGATTCGATTTCGTGTGGCGGTACGTAGCTTGGATCCCCAGGATCTACTGATATATCTTCCACCTCAGATAAGTCAACATCGGACGACGATGACGAGTACGAGCTACTGCTAACACTCCATGGTTCGTCGACGACAACGCATGGTGGCGTCACGCAAGGGGCAACATCTACGGTCGCGGAAATTGATGAGGAACTGCTCATCGAAGACTCGTCTGACGGTTCAGAGGGGAGGTCGGGCGGGTCTTCAGGAGCCATCGCTTCGTAAGCCGATGAAGAATCTGAAGATGAAGACGATGACGGTTCAGATGACGTTTCAATGTCCTTGTAAACGTCCGAAGGCTCTATGACTACTCCGTAGTCATCGGAGGAAGAGGAACTGAAGTAGTCCGATGACAATACGTCATTGTGCGCATGCGCTAACCAGAACCAGCATATGAAAAACGCCGGAACGCAACCAAGTTTAAACGTCATAAGTGACGTCATTGTAAAATCCTGCAATGAGAACAAAAAGGAAAAAAAATGATGAATACCGAGAAAATGAAATGAGACAATAATTTCAACTCTTAAATTAAATGCAGTATAATTCAGGTATTACGTCCAAAAAACGATTAGCCCTGTTTTGCAATGTACAAATGTCATACAAATGCTTCCCGTTAGGGCTTGAAATTAAGGGACTCTGAAGTAACAATATTTTGGCAGCTTTTTGAATGAATTTACAGGCACCCAAGAATACATATGGGTCCTTCAAGGTAAGCTCAAACATGCCGGCAATGACATGCAGTGGAGGCGCAGTGTTTTACAAAACTCGACAGCACTTTACTCTTTCGGGATCGATTAAATATGATTAAATTAGACTGAATAAAATTCCTATTAAAGAGGCAGTGCATGCAATAAGGTATTATACATGATTTGACAGGAAACACAGTTTTAATCATCAAATAACCTAAAAAGTATTTATAAAAACGGGTTGCATGTGTCAAAAAAACGTGCGTTCCCTCCATTTTTTAGGACAGGTTTGATAGTATTCATTCACTCAATGACATCCAAAGACGGTGGCAACAGTAGCGTATAATACCGTGCGTAGGACCTACCCAGCGCGCGGGGAGCACGAGGCAACTTGCCCCAGAACACGTTGCATTTTTGAAAGGAATTGAAAGCACCAGCCTTCTAGAAACGACTATACCACTGCCTTTCGGGGCATGATCATGAGGCCTTTTCAAGAATGAAAAAATAGGCGGTCATCTTCAGAACAATCTCACCCCCCCGACCTAAGTACACAATCTGGCTGCTATTGATAAGCCATTAAAGTTATTCGAATCATTTGTTTCACAGCGCTGTCAGGTTCTGCTTTTTTACGATCATGTGAACAAAACAGCGACACCTTTAATTTGCCTTCTTCAGAAGACAAAAACATAAAAATGAGTTCCCATAGTTTGGCCATGGAGACTCCATGGTTTGACAGAGATCCAAAGGAAAGAGTACTTACCTCAGCTCAAAACTTCAAAGCTCCTGTGACGAGACCAGCCCTGTTGTGCTCTAGTTTGACTTCCGCACTGTTCCTTGCTCTGTGGTTTGAGGCTCTCTCATCCCACGCTCGAACTTTTAAGGTTGTCTGCACAACATGCGCTGTCTGGAAGACAAGGAAGTCACTCGTCACGTGTCAGCACATGCAGCTGCTGAATCAATAAACACGGTGACGGATTCATGTCTTTTAGCTGGAAATCAGGATCACGTAGGACGTGAAGTAAATTGAACCCGTCCGTAACCCCACTGGGAGTTGATGGCCCGAAGGGGACTTGCCTAACCCCCACGACGGAACCGGCTGTCACGCGCAACCAAGCACCAATGAGGGGACTCGTCTACCACTTACTGCACTCCCTCTTACATACAGGTGATACATGTTAGGTCTGCAATTTCGAACTTCGGCACTTTGGGTTAACCCCCACCCCACCCACACACACACACCAAAGTACATCGTGGTTAGTGTTACGTCCTGTAACGTAAATTATCGTTCGTTTCCTCTGTGAACTTTTATGGCTGAACAAACAAGTAGACATTTTGAAAGTCGATGTTGTGCCAGGCGCTTTGTTATTAAAATTGGTGCAAAAGTATAATGCATTTAAAAAGTGGGCCTGCCAACAGTTTGTGTCTGAAAACAATTTCCACCTGTTGCTCTTAAAATCCAAGTACAATTTTTCATCGCCAACAATCTTCATTATTTAGGCCTACACATCACGATCGAGCATGACATGTCATCTTGCAGTTTCTTGGAATGTAATCAATAATGGTCGCCCACGCTTAACTTCAAATCCGGTCTCCAGCCAAAACAAGTTATAACACGAAGATGCAGCTGATTGCACTATAGAGTCCTTGCTCTGTGCTTAAAAGGCCAGGGTGGAACTTGAAGGGGGTACCTTACGTCTAGTTAACATCAAGGACTCCGAACCAACTAGAACTTAGAAGTCAACATGCTCTCAGTCACGTCGTGCTATTGAAATCAACAGTGCTCTCCTCAGTGAGATGAGCAATGAAAATGGTTCGTTCGATGTGGCACAAACACAATCTACATATAGAAATATTTGCAAATGCACAAGAAATAAATAATTCACTTGGCTTTTACACTTGGTGAAAGTGTCAACCTTTAATTAACCACCTGTCTTCTTTAACTTACCATTGTGCACAAACATAGTTCCCAGTCTGTGGGTTGTGAAAGTAGCATGGAGAATGTTGTATATAGATGTATGGTCTAATTCCTTTTCAACGAGGGAACCAGTAGGTTACCGTACATTAAAGTAGTTCCCTTATATCTAACTGTGGGACACTGGATTCCAGTGCGAGCGAAAAATATGTGGGTATGGGGTAACCGCAATGTCTGATAATTACCTACGTAGATAAACATCCGAAGCACACGCGCAGCTCTAATAACAGCAGAACAATGGGGTTTAAACCAGGGTCAAATCCAGTTCCTTGAACACCAGAACGTAAAATATCTGGCCAAACACGTCAGAACTGCTCTCGCTTTTCACGTACATGTAGGTCCGAAAGAACCAACAGCTGAAAACACAATTTTCCATTTACTATAAAGGCTCCCCCCCGTGTGTAGCGGTGTTCTATTTTTCCCCTCTATTCTTTTTCAGTTTACTGAAGTGAAGCCAAGACTTCGTCTATAAACAAGGCAACCAAACACCTCTTAACTAAAAAGAGTGGGAACTTAATAATGAAGTGAATCAATTCGTATTAAATGTCCATAAACTGATTAATATCAATTCGGGGGTCACCCCCGGAAGACAATTCATTTGCAGAAATCGTAGCTTGGTAGGCGTCATGATTGTTTAAAAGAACTTTCGATGCACATGCAATGAATTTGACGAATTGATCGATATTGTTAAATCACTCAAATGTGATCTTGCAAATAAAAAACTGTACAATGGACAGAGATAGATTTTCAAGTCCGAAACTGATGAAGGAAACTTCACAATTACAGCAAGACGACACATGCTAGGGACGAAGTGCCAACTTGCAAACTTTAGAAGTAAATGATAGTTCAAAGAAAACTTTAAAATTATCCAGAGTCAACAAGATTGATCTAAACTGACGAGCCCGTTTCAAAGAAAACTAATAAAAGACAAACAAGAGCTTGGCAACATGTTTGAAATAATAGAGTAAACGTTTATTACTTCAATTTGTCAAGTTAATAAATACCATATGCCTGCTCTTCAATTCAATCTTTTCGCAACTTGGACCATTCTTCTATAAAGATAACAGTCGGCAGCCTTCGGGAAAAAGCCTGCTATCGGGTGACGAATTTGTGATTGATTACTCATCGGGTCGTTTATTCTGACTGTCATTTTTTTGTAAAAATATACAACTCGGTTGACTCAGTGTTTTAATGCCCCCGTTGGAGTCTGTGGATTTTCTCATAACTGTTGAGTAATGTAACTGGAAACAAGGATCCTGGACCGAGGCCAAATGGCTGCTGGCTGAATCAGTGTTGGGCAGAGGTTTTTGTAATGAAACTATCGAGCAGACGGAATAGGCCTTGATTCGGCTTAATGGTAGGGATGGGGGACAAGACAACATCCTCTTAATGGGGAAGGGGGGGGGGTGGTAGCATCTTCCCTGTCCTCCAGAGTTACAGTGAGACCCCCCAAGACATGCTTAGCGTGACATCATCAAACTTTCAGCACAAAGAAGCAGGTATTTAATTTCCAGAAGGGCACCAACAGTCTCTGAAACTGAAATGTTAAATTAGTGGTGCAAACTGCCAGAAATGGACACACAAGCAGGCATATTAAGACATCCATACCTGTGCACAGTAGTGGGTTTATGCACAGGCTTACCATGGGCCCTGGGACGGCCATAGTTTAGGGGGCCTCAGAAAAAGAAAACTTTCTATCCCAGGTATAAAAATAGTTTATTGATTGACAGCCGGGCTTTTTTGGACAATCTTGCAAGGGGGGGGGGTTGTATTCTGCCCACCAGCAACAATTTAAAGCTTGCTATGCATGAAGATACATTAATTATGAGTGAGTTTCTATTTATCTGACATAGGTTTTGCAGTTATGGTCATTTGTAGTTAATGGCCTAGTACGTCTCTGACAGCGTGCACTGAGCACATCTATGGAAAAAGATGACATTTGGGGCTGAACTGTTTCAGAAATTGCCTGTTTTGCGAGAACAGAATTCCCACTCATAATGACTGTGAGACTTTACAGCATAACTCCTATTGGCTCGGCACGAAAAAAAGTGCACTGCAAATAGTATTGTAGAAAATGTTTGGGGGGGGCAGATTCCATCTCCTGGCTCTTTTAGGGTCAAGTGAAAACTTCCGTCTCTGATTAGCAATTCAAATTACTTTCAGAGCCCATGGACAGACAAGTCAGCCCAATTCACTTGCCACAGGAGTGTGTGTTCCTGCTGACTGTAACCACATACTCAGGATGCGGCCTTAAGCTCTTTAATGGCAAACTTTACGGGAAAGTGATACAGAAAATAATCTTGGATTTGATTTCCTTTCCAGTCCAGTATTATTTAATCCCGCAGACTGGACTTTTTCAGACCCTTGGAGTCGGAAATGTAAACCGCTTTCCATTTAATGTTACGATGAGGTTAAAAAGGCTCTCTTTACTTTTGATTTCTAACTGTCCACAGTGATACATCTGCATAGGTCTTATCCTGATCCTGACCCCTCTGAAAAATACAAGACAGTCCATATTACTTTGGGGCATTCCTAAGATGGGGATTTCAGAGGGACATTGGCCTTATTTCAAGTTACGTACACAGCTTTTGATTGGGGGGAGAGGAAAACTGGGATCTTTTTCTGAAATGATTGTCCATTTTTTTTCATCATCCCCAACAAAGACAGTTTCTAGTACCATTTCTAAAGTCTTTTCCATTCTTTCCCCCCAAAATAATAATAATAAAACTTTGGCAACTTGTCTGCGGCCTGCTGGATGTGCCCCTGCTTATTTCTGGGCGGCAAATTCTGCCTCCACGATTCGCTTGTATTCGTCCAGTCCACCCTCCATGGACTTCACGTCTCCCTCGGCGCATACCCAAAATTCCTTGCAGATCAAGCGGATCAGGCTCTCGTCGTGAGAAACGAGCATGACACCTCCCTGAAAGGTCAAAAACCCGTAAAGATACCATTACTGCAGACACCTTCAGGAATCTGATACCCTGAATGATTATTTTGACATAGGAAACACAAACCATCAGCGCTGACCTTGAATATGTATCTTTGCATATGTGTGTGAGTAAGGAAAAATACTTGAGTTCGAGTTCAACATAACAGCAGTTTTAGAAAAAAAATCCTTTCCGTGACTGAATGAAGAAAGCGCTCGAGTGCCTGTGCATTGACCAAAGTTATTTAATTTTACCTTGAAATCATTGATCGCTTTGCCCAATGCCTCCACCGTTTCGATGTCAAGGTGGTTGGTAGGCTCATCCAGAATCAGGAAGTTTGGACTGTTGGAAACAAAACCAGAATCCAGTGAAATGGTTTGTGTTCATTTGGTTGAGGTTTGATCTAAAGCGCCTGCTGTTGACAGGAAGAAGTCTAACAAAGACACAAAGTGTGCCCTAATGTGCTAGTTTGTTAAAACAACCTTAGAGCTACGTAACCCCCCCCCCCAGACCATTTCCTTTATTTTTGCATACTGTGTTTCGTTAAAATGAGCAAGCACTTGGATAAAAATAACATATTTACAGCATTTTTTCTTGAACCTTTTTTTTTAACTGAAGGAGTGATATATCCAGTAAACATTTTAAAAGTAAGCTTGCCAGGCCTAAATGTTTGACTTCTGGGATTTGCATGCTACTCAGAAGGGAATGCATTTGAAAATGCAATTCAAATGTAAAGGCCGGTGTTTGCTTGGTGTAAAAGTGAACACGAACACAAACACAAAATGTGAACCATCAGGTCAAATACATATGTTGCGAATTTATTAAAGTTTAACAGATTTCAACTCCATTGAATCGCACTGCAAATATTTCATTCACCAATTTCCCTTGTTTTTGCATTTGCCTGAAGTCTAAACTAAAACAGAGAAATTAAGCTGATCTTTTAGCCACTGATATTTCTCTTCTGAGAAGAAATCATGACTTGTCCTAAGCATAGTGGATACATACTTTTGGTTATGAACAATTTTAAAACAAAAACTGTATATCTGCTACCTGTTGAATGACAAAATTTAGGCATTTCAGACTTAACTACAATATGGCCGTTTCACAATAGTGTGCCACCAAGAGTTTGCAATGCGTTGGCCAATCACAATGCCCGAAATTTGTCGACCCAATGCACGTTTGGAAAGGGTGGCGTTATGATTGGTCAACCCATTGCAAACTCTTGGTGGCGCACTATTGTGAAATGGCCGTATTGTATAAAAAATTGACCTTTTTTTCTAATACTCACTTGCCCATGCACATGAGTGCAAATGCCACCCGGCTCTTCTGGCCTCCAGACAGACTAGAAACAGCACGCATGGCAAGTTCACCTGTGATGCCAAAACTGCCTAACTGGTGCCTGTACCTTTCTACAGGATGACCTGCCAAAAGGAAACAAATAACTGGATCATTATGCAAATCATGAATATTTACGAGTGCAGTGGTAAGTATACTTTCACGGGGTGATGGATGAAATGTTCCAGTTTTTCCATGTAGATTTCAAGGAGCTGGGTATACAGACAACTATTCCTTGCTACTTGTATGCGAGGCCAAAGTTTTAAAACATCACCCTCGGTTGGGTTGACAACTCACCTCAAAATGTAGATTAACCCCTTTCTTTAAAAGAGGGTTTTATTTTCACATGGTACTTGACAGTAGCATTCTCTAGTTCCTTTTGTGATAGTGGTGTGAGATTGTTGACACTTCGTCATGTGCCAAGGAAAAGGACGTTTGCAGTCCAGACACGCAAATATTATGTTTTGAGATAATCGAAAAGTTTGGTGCTCCCATTTGCAAATCAAAAATCTCACAAGCCTGAATTTAGAGAGCTGAAGTTTTGTTAATAAAAAAATAAGATTTAACATTTTATGGATAAAAAACTTTGATTTTTTTACAGTCATTTATGTTTTTTGCTAATGACCTTTTGCCAGGAACTCCTGATGCCTAAAATGTGCACTAAAGTGGCATCTTTAAAATAGACTTTGACTGCCTTTACACTTCAGTGGGACATTAGCACATGTTTTGATACATTAGTATAATGTGGTAACGTTCTCAATCCGGACAAAAGTAATAAAAAACACCTTTTGTCCTTGAATCAACATGTATACCAGATAAAAGATATTTACATACTCTATCAGTCACCAAAACAACCTAAATTTGGCTTTTTAACCCATTCTTTACCCTTACGACCTTTTTCCAGGCACTTGACGACTTCATGAGTTCTGCTTTTGTACCGACAAAGTGCCATTATTCTTAGCAACCACTTGTTGGCAAAATATGACTGTGACTTGTTCTTGGTTGGAGTCAGTCGTCATGGCAACTCACCAGGGAAACGGGAAGCCATGACTTCCACTGATGTCTGATCCATATCGAGTTGGTCCACGTGATGCTGGCTGAAGTAGCCAATTCGTAGATTTCTGTGCCGGTGCACTACCCCCGAGACTGGCTCCAGTTGCCCTATCAGGATCTTGAGTAGCGTTGTTTTTCCGGAACCATTCTCTCCAACCTTTTGGAATTGAAAAAAAAAATTCTACATTTATTTCAGGTAATGACACCAAGAATTCACGGGTGCCAGGGGCACTGTTGCTGGGAAGTCGGCAGAAAGCTTGGGAGAGAAAATGCTCTGTTTTAGAGGTGGGAGAAACAGACAAATAGTCTTGTCAAAATTCACAGAATCCAAGTCCATACGTTAACCACGGTCGGATGTGAACTGCCATTTGTGGCGTTTGGCTGTCTTCTAAAAGCTGGCTACTATATCTTGCCCTTTTCAAATCTAGGTTTTTCTGCCAAAAATAATTCCGTGCAGAAGTGGTTAAGCTGATTTAAACACCCTTTTGCATCCATTTGTAGGAGGCCGCGTTATCAAGATATTTTCATTTGGTAACTACGGCAAATGTTTGAAGCTGATTACAGAGCTCAAGGTGAAGCCGTACATGGAGGTAAGCCTGAGATATTCAACAGGCCATTTAGGGCATAGCGTCCATGACTCACTATGCAGGTTCTGGATTCCATGTTTGCTGAGATGTCAGTCCTCTTGAATATGGGCTTGTCTTTGGAGTAGTAGAACTGCACCTCGTCCAGCTGTAGAATAGGAGGGGATAGCTTCTCAAATTCTGCCGGAAACCTGACAGGGGAAAAAACAACAACTTTTGACAGGAAACAGTATGTTGCATGATGAAGCAACCCTTCAAGGTGGGATTTTCCTGCAAACCAACAGCACCAACATTCCTTGCAGGTATTTTTGAAAATATTCAAAGCTATAAAACAAGAGCACATATACCACAATATGTCTGATTTAAAAAGAATGATTTCTCTGACAACTGTTACATTTCCTGGAGCTATGTACTGCAAACAAAAATGCTAGTACACAATAAGACATACTTCTGTAACTTATTTTCAGCTAAGCGGTATTTTCAGTACATCTGTTTCTAAAATCACCTTAGAATGACGTCTGGTTCTTTTTCCACTGGCTTTAGGACAGGGCTGAAAAAAACAAAACAAACAGCAAAGAATTGGTTACAAAATCCTCCAGCCTCAACAATGTGTCAAAACACTGCAATACATGTATCTTTCAGTCACTTATGTGGTAAAAAGTCTACAAACAGTCCAAAAGATACTCACAGCTTTTCAAGAAACTTGATCTTGCTTTGAACTAAGGCAGCTCTGTTGGCATTGTAGCGGAACCTATCGATAAATACCTGGAAAAAGTTGAAACAACAACCATGCAGTGAAACAAATAATTGAAACATTGCTTTTTAAACAACACTAAGGTTGCAATGCCCTGATACCAAGGTTTTCGTGGTTAAGAAGAAATGTACACATACGTCATAAACCTGACTTTCACTTCTTAATGTGGAGTGAATTTGTTCTGAGGAAATGTTTGCAGCCAAACTCACCTGAGTTAAAATGTGTTTGATTTTTGCGAATTTGCAGGGCAAATATTTGATCTGATGTCAAACGATTTAACCTAATCATAATGACACCATATACACTATACAGAGGGCGGTGTCCATGATACATCTGAAGAGTGCATCAAATTCATGCAGAACCTTACATCAGAATGGCATATTTATGGCTTTTGAAACTGCTTTCCTTTTTTCAGTGATATTGCAAAGATTTTAGCCGTTGGGAAATCCTGAAAATTCTTCACAATCCCCTTTAATTTTTTTGTTCATCAATAAAAGTGTGTGTGTGTGTGTGTGTGGGGGGGGGGAAGATGATTCAATAGCCCACCCCCACCTCAAAGTGTGTGTGTGGGTGGGGGCTACACCCCCAACCCCCTGGGATTTATGCCCATGATCACATGACAATCATCCATCAGTGCACATACACGTGAAAAATAATCGGTGTAAAAGGTTTGGAAACTCATTTCTTTGAGGACTCTTTTCTGCCTACTTGTACATGTGCTCGTAGCTGCTGTTGTGCCTCGTATTCCTTTTGTTGGTTGCTCAGCCTTTCTGTTTTCGTCTTGAAGAATATTTCGTAGTCCCCGCGGTAGGCATCTAGAGTCTTTGAATGCAGGTACAATATGTCGGTAGAGATCACATTCAGGAAGTTCTTGTCGTGGGAGACTACGAGAAGAGTTGTAGGCCAGGTCTAGGAAGGAGCAGAAAATTAAAACAAACTAAGAGGGAAGGCCTTGCCATTGGTTGCTCGCGTTCCGACTTGGCCTGACATACTCTGAAAGTACATCACAACCACACTGCAGTGTTCTCAAGCAAGGCACTTGCTGCAATTATCTGTCGCAGCCTCAAAGGCCAAGATAAGTTCAGGAGAACTGTGGTACAATGTGCCACTGTCCATTTTCTCACAAAGGAAACAATTTTTTTTAATTAACGGTCAACTTCCGCATGATTTGCTTTGAGTTGTTCCCTTGGTTTGTATGTACATGTATGGTATCAGGGACATTCATGAAGATGAATAATTTTTTATATCCTTAAAAATTTCCAAGTTACACTAAAACCTTAAACAGAGTACATGTAGTCCAGAGCGTGATGAATAGCGTTATGCACTGTCCACAGATGTCAATTTTTTTCCCAATAAGCATTGCTAGCACAGCAAGATAGTTTTCATGAAGCAGCAGTTTTTTGCATCATAATACTGGAACCAGCAGGCTGTACGAAAGGTAAAATGCAAATATCGCGAGTCCTTGTTAAGAACCGTTATACCTGTGCCTAATTTAGAATTTTTGAAAGCTTAATTGATGACTTGACATTTGAATATTTACTTTACAACTTGACATTCACAGGTGTTATGTGATGTACAGTGGAACAAAAAGGGAAAAATGTCAATTTCTTTGTGACCAATTGCCTTCTAAAAGCTTAATCAAGAAAAGAATTATAGTTCTGCTTCCTGTTTACACCTAATCCCAAATGACTGGATATGTGTTGTTCCATATATCAGTGTAATATCAGGCTGAATATTCAAGTCATCAATCAATCAATCAATCAATTGATGAGACTCAACCCTAAGAGCCTTTCAGAAAGTTCCTGAGATGTTTTCCCCGAATGCTGCTTGGCTAACACAAATACACAGCACTGCACAAGTGAAAACTTTGGTCACAAAAAATCCATTCCAACCTGTAGGTAACCCTCCAGCCACAGAACGGCTTTGATGTCCAGCATATTGGTAGGCTCATCAAGAAGCAATAGATCAGGCTTGGAGAACAGCGCCCTCGCTAGGGCTAGACGCATTCGCCACCCGCCAGAAAACTCCCTGAAATGCAACCACGGAAAGTCATATCAAATCTCGTAAAATGTTACAAATTTGAGGCAACTGAAGTAGAATTAGTGCTTTTTAAACATGTATAATTTCTGATAACTTAATGCTTTGACCACTCTTGGACTGATATTTAAACAGGTTAAACTTGTCAATAATATTTTTATGAAAGAGTGAACTGTACATAAATTCTTGAATTCATTTGAACTATAAACCTGATGACACAGCAAAATCCAAACAATGACATTGTACAAGTGCAAATATACTCATGCGCTGTGGGTGTTTTAGTTTTATTCAAACTGAAAAAAAGACAAACTGCTGGAGGTCAAGGCTAAAACAATATATTCTGAAAGTACTGACACACAGTCAAGTGTAACAAGCTTGTGCCGAAATGTGGCTCATTTCCACCTTTTTGTTTTCTTTTATACATTTTAAACAGTTTGACTCATTTACTTGATGCACGCGGGACCTGGTTGGAGGGTCAAAGGTCACACGTTGCTTTCTTACCTTGTCTTCATTTTCTGCATGTCTGGTGAGAAACCCAAGCCGGCAAGGATCATGGCTGCCCTGTCATATGTGAGTAAAATACTTGATGAAACCTTTCTCACACCAAACTGAAATGAATACTGCAAGACAACTACAAGATGGCAACAGTGCTCTTTTTCTTGCAGGCATATTCACCCTCGGGTCCATAAAGCTGATATGTAGCATTTGTATCTTGGAACTCTTTCCCAGACGAAGTTTCTTTGTGAACTGACCGGTGACATTTCATCATTTTACACGCTGTAAAAATGTTAACCAGTACAACATTTGACTGACAATTCAATATACTACCAAGTGATATTCTGTGCTGTTCCACGTTCAGCCTTGTGCTTTTTACACACACAGTGTCTCATACACATCAGCACTTCCTGTTCTTCTATGTACGGACTATAACATACATTTATTGACCACCTTGAAGGGCAATAGTGAAATATTCAATACAAAAATATAATACCCAGTGAAATATTCAACTACTGAGAGGCCCAGTTGTATCCTATTCACACATACCTGGCAGGTGCCTTGTCTGCTTCAATCTCTTCTAGTTGAGCATACACCTCTGCCAGTCTACTGCTGGTGGCAGGATCAGATCCCCCAGGACTACAACAAATGCACACGAGACAAAATTACAATTCTACTTACAATCCACCGGGCATGCCTTGTCTGGCTTTTCAATTGGAAGATAATGTCTTTTGTCAGGAAATTCAGGACTGAGTTGTGGGGCCCAAAATGTTTTTTTTAATTTTTTTTTATTTATTATTTATTTAACCCCTTGACAACGGGAACTTTTTCTGAAAGCCGACTCCGAGAATTCCAGCCTCGCTTGGCCACAGGGGCCCGGGGGAAAGACGACAATGAAGAAATGTTCAATTTGAGAAGTGGGAGGAAAACCCTGGACAAATATTTTGGGCAGAACCAATACAATCAGGTAGGGACTGAGAACTCAATCCACATGTTGCCCTGGGTAATTTTGAGCCCGGGTCACAGAGGCACAAACCTGACTCCCCTAAAATTGTCCCCATGATAAATTCTGTTCAACATGTGTGTAGTTTCCACCAAACTTTGTCCGAGTAACTTATTTGGTCTCAACAATGACTCTTTCAACACATGTAATAGCCCCACAACTCTTAAACACGTACGTGTGGGCATGCATGTGAGTAGGGCATATGTTTCTTACCACATAGCACTGCACAAGCAGTCACTCTTGTGCACCGCAGCAAAGCTCACTGTGATTACAAGGTACACTGTTATGACTTACTCAATTTCATGCAAGGTAAGTCCAACTCTATCTTTCGCACTCCAATTTCCTTTAGACTTGTTTTTAATATGAATCCCTGGAGTATATACCAAGCCACATACCGCAGCAATTACAAGTAATGCAAAGCAGGTGGAAGTTATTTCAAGAAACGTCTTACAAGAGATTGAGGGCACAAGTGTACGAAAATGCTGTGCTAGAATTTTCAGTCAATGTCCTTCGCCTGACCTTGTGGCGTTGAGTCTCTCCACCAGCTGTCTCTCCTCTGTCACTAATCGTTCTCTCGTCTCGTCACTCTGCAGCACGCTGTCTGTGGCTAGCGTGTCATCGCCTGTGACCTCTTGCTCCACATGGAGAATGCTGATGTGGGACGGAATACGCAGCTCACCACTGGAGGGACAAAATCAAATGACAACAGAATAAGTTGGTGCACCATCATGAATGCTTGTTGTAAATCTTTGGGAGTAGGAGCCAGAGTTCAGATTGTAAAACTTCAAATTTACTCCTTTCTTCTGTGGCCATAATTTTCCTTCATGTCGTTTGAATCCTTATAAATCACATTAAGCAAGATTCAACAAAAGAACGTAAATGACCAACATTCTCTTTCACTACATCTGTAATTACTACCATGATATGAAAAATTAGGAGTCAATTTTGGAAAAGGCGCTTTGTTCCTTTCTTGTTCTCACGTTCACTACCTTGATATCATCTTTAGCAAAGTACTTTTCCCGGCACCGTTTCTTCCAACAAATCCATATCTCCTGCCATAAGTTAATGTCAAGTCTGCTTCTTTTAAAAGGACTCTGTTGGGAAAAATAAAAGGGGAAAAAAAATGATAGGAGCAAATAAGCAGGCCACCTTTTAAAACTCACCAGCCCATTCTGGAAGCAAGTCTGATTGTGCCATTTCTCTACACAACCTACAAACAGAAATGCTCACTGCCCGATCGTCATACAGTCCACCGAAAGTTGATCACAAGTCAAATGGAAGTCAATTGCAAGCCAACTACTAATCGATTGCAAGTCAATCACAAGTCTATTACAAGTCAATCAAGAATCAATAACTCGATCAAGAATCAATCTCAAGTTGACTGCAAGTTGATCACAAGCCAATCAGGAATCAATCATAACCTAAATCCCAAGGTGATCAAAAGGTGATCATGAGTCAACTACAAGTTAATTGCAAGTCAATTACAAATTGATCACAAGTCAATCGCAGGCTGAAGACAATAATAATAGTAGTAATAAAATGGATGTGGCTAACGGCCTCTGTTAAATTAACCTCGGGGCAATTTACAATGACTTATCCAGCAAGACAAACATACACAAAAATTAAAAATGAGTAATACATTAACTTAACCATGAGTAGTTACATGTATAAGTATACCACATAAGAGCAATTTCACTGGGACAGTCTATCCTAGGGAATCTTTATGTCAATCACAAGTCAAAGATCAAGAACTAGTAGGTCACAACTTGCAGGCTATGAACCTGTTTATATACATGCCACAGTTCATCAATCTGCATTGCTGAAGGCTTCATTTGTGACCGGATGACAGACCTGTGAGGAGCTGACATTCCGACAACAAAAAATAGCAGTTCACGAACAGCGAAACTTCTATCACCTATTATTTTCAATGAACTAGTGCTTCAGATGTGACTAGCAACAAGCATTATTCTGTGAATGAAATCAGAAATTCCATGTCTTGTATACTGCCTTACTTGTCACCAAATGCCAGATCAATGTTCTCAATTCTGATGTCCTTAGCCCGGCTGTTCCCAGACTCATCCATCTTCTGGTCTTTCCTGTTGATAGCCTGGCTGGCAGAAGCAGTAATTGCTGACCTGCATGAAGATAAGAGATATTGAACAAGTTATTGGTAATACAGAGTTGTGCAAGGAGATGCCATTAGTGCGGTGGTGGAACATTCACAGGTGCATTCTCAAGCTCGAGGCCAATGTATTATTGTCAAGTATTGCAACAGCATCTTTTCCATGGAAGAGGTATTTGATGTGTATCTTCTGCACATGAGCGTGGTGACAAAGAAAGAAACAGCTTTTAATTCTTGTTGCCGATAACACCAAATCCAACACAGTGTGTCTGAAGCTGGTTTCCCTTGACAGTTCTTTGTGGGTGTTAAAATGACCACACAAAGCTCTTCAGATTGATCTGTTGGCCACTTTAAATTGCCGAGGAGTATAATCCTGGCTAATTTGGGGCAAAATTTGTTTTCAGGCCTGTATTTCAAAAGTAGCCCTAGCATTTTGGAAATTGTTTTGGAGTCACACATTAACCCGTTTGCGCCGGGGGACGGTAAGAGCCACCATAAAAATTGAGATCCTCAGCCCGCTTTTCAGCTATTATTCTCAGCCCACGTTCGAGTGAACACGGTGAAAAAAGGCAGACCCTGGCTCTTGTATATATGGTGATTGGCCTTTGTGTGTTGCCAAGAAATGAAAAGG